CTAATCTTTCCTGATATCCATCTTGGCATCTTGCCGATTTATCGCAAATGTGCATAAACATATATCATGTGGAGAGTTTTAAGTCTCAAATTTCGTTCACAAATGAGCTTGCTTTCTTACGTTTTGAACAGTAAAGTATTGAAAATGTATGCAGGTCAAATTTTTGTGAAATAGCTTAATTTTGAAATAGCAAATTAATTTTGTGAAATAGCTGAAAAAGAAGTTTTATAATTCTACTTTTGAGCGATTGAATACAGTTTAATGTAAGGCCTGATTGAAACCCAATCCAACGCCAAATCTGAGGCGTAGTCTGAAGCCTTTAATCTGCGGCTAATCTCAAGGTAGTAATAAAATTGTCATTGGAATTTTTGATCGACAAATATAAATACACCAAAATCACGGAATGTTGTTATAAAATAGACGAATTTTAATACATTTTGGTTGGTTTGAGATGCGGAATACGAAACAAACGTGTCAATGCACCGCATACTTACGCGCCGAATACCGCTTCACTTTAGGAAGCATGTGCATTGAGACATGGAATGATATCAATTGAACGCTTGTTGATTTCGTGTTTAGCGGCTTTAGCCTATCGATCTTGTTGTTATTCCCCCAGCGGCGGTTTCATTTAATGGTAATAACTTCGTCGGGACTTGGGCCAACGTATTCCTTTGTCCACCAGAAGAGTAAGCGCTTGTCCGGTAGAGTTCTATTTGAATAAACTGCGTCTCACTGAATTATCATACTGAGTTACTGACCAAATTTTCTTTGATATAACCATGATATGTCAATTCCAGCGTTCATAAAGTCTTTTCTGTCACATTGTCTGAGTTCATTCGATGTCCGTAATTCTTTACAGCTCCGCACCAAGTCAAATTTTCAAATTTTCTTTCTCGGTAACAAGACATTGCTCTTTGTTGGGATATTTGTCAAAGTGAACTCCCTTATCACATTGACCTTTGTTCTGCGTGTTCGTTGTTGACATATGATTGGTCAGTTGATCTTTCATTCGGTTTTACACATGCCCAGAGAAACATTTGAACTTTGGACTATTGGATATCGCCTTTTTGTGGCTGTTGACAAGGTTATCCTGTTACTATGAGATTATAACCAGGTTTGAAGGTGACAAACGTGTTGTCTCATTAACTTGAATTTATATATTGCTATATATAAATTTGCTAAAAGCAAGCAACGCAGTCAGTAATTGCCAAATTTGCAAGTGCTCATTTTCAACTAAAATCGGAACAGGCAAATTAGGACGAATTTCAACAGAAAACCAAATCGTGAAAGAAGTCGTACGACCACATTTATAGCATTAATGTGTGCTTCGCTGTCGCCATTGGCATTATTATAAATAAATTGTCTCACTTATCAGATCGTGTGTGCAATTCTACAGGAGAAGAGAGCGTTCAGAGTCCAGATCGTTTCGTTTCAAACGGCAATTACCGTCTTCTGTTTCGCTCTCTCAGCGAAGCCTTGCAAATCGCAAAGTGTTTCGTATAGGCTTACATGCAACTGCCTCTAAATCTTCACCGCGAAAAGCGCTGTTTTCTTCAGTGCAAGAACAGAGTCAACATCTACCAAAAGATAATTTTCTTGAGGAACATATAACGTATCAAGTCTGTTTGAAATTAATGAAACTCAAGTAAAGGTTACTATAGTTTACCCCAGTCGTAATGTTGCTATTCCAACACTTCACAACTAGCAATCCCCATTGGCATAACGGCAAAAACATCTCTTCCTTCAAGTAAACAATAAACAGTCTGTTCTTGTTCCATTTTTAATCGAAAAAAGTGATCAATTTTCGAATTTTAAGCTTATCGAGAGCCTTTGTGATGAATCACTGATCTAATAAAAAATCCAACAGCAAACAGCCAATCAGAAAGCCGCGTTCGTGGGCGAAGGCGGAAAGTACAAAATACCGGGCCTTGCTTGCAGGCCCACTATAATTCTTCCCTTGGGCCTGCACGCGGGCTAGCTTTAAGTTCTCTCATTTCTCTACCTGTCAGTTAAAAACTGCATCATAACTTACAAGTTTGAGTGACGAGCATGTACGACGATCTCCGAAATGCCTCCGAAGTTTTCACTCTTGTGCAATCGAGTGAGATCATATAAATTGATTATCCAATATCGCGTATCATGTCTATTATGACTGTTATAAAATAGATCGAAAGAAACAAAGCAAAATCACAGTTCACGAAGCAGGCATCCTTAATTCTCACTTCACGGAGCATTTTTATCGACAATCACGCCTCACGGCTGTAGAACAAATCACATTTCACGACACTAAAATCAAGCATTTCACATTTCACGCGAACAAATATTGACCATTCACGGCTCACGAAAATACCCTTTCCCACCCTCACGAGTTTGCACCGTTGTGTCAGACATGTGATGTGAACAAGGCCGTGACTATACACGTTGGATAGCTCCTTGCCTTTTTCTTCTATCTCATAAAGCTTGCTGGGAAGTCAAGCGGTTGCCGATATACGTTGGCTATTTCCTCGTCTTTTTCGTTTGAATAAAGAGTTCTGACGAGTCAAGAGATCAACAAGTTATTTTGTTGGTTATATTTTCTCGTATTTAATATAACACCATACAATGATACAAAGACCGCTTCGATCTGTTTAATAGTTGTTTATGCTACTGACTGATGCAATTTTTCCAAAATGAGTGTAGCCATCTACTGTGGTGTAGCTGTGTAGCACCTTATACAGTCAATGTATGAATATACGGTCTAAACAATATAAATCGGCACTTAAAATATTAATTGAATGCCTGTAAAATACAAAACATGAATTTATATATTGCGTAGCATCTCAAAGATTTTCTCAATATTCATGTCTGAAATGTTTATATATTTGAAACCAAACTGTATCGCTCCATCCTAGCTCTGTATAATGAATATACCGTCAAAACAATAGCGACACTTAATTGAATGCCTAGAATCTCAAAGATTTTCTCAATATTTTAATACGTCCGAAATGTTTATACAATTGAAAAAAGCACTGTCTAGCTCCGTATAATGAATATACCGTCTATAAAATAATACGATACTTGATTGAATGCCCATAATGAATAACATCAATTTATATGTTGCGCAGATTCTCAAAGATTTACTTTTTTTCACGTCTAAAATATTTATATATTTGAAAACAACACTGTGTCGCTCCTTCGAAGCATCGTCACGCCATCGTTGATCTACGGCTTGACAGCGCATGCGCATTTGCGCTGCTAAAGAAAGAATCGGGTGTTCCGGGGGGTAAAGATCCTTTACATAACATGAGAAGCGAATGTTCTAAAATTTACAAAAAAGTTACAATAACGATAACGATTCCTCGAAATTTTTGTGAACCTGGCAAAAGGCCTAAAGAATATTTAAAGAAGACAACTGAAATTACCTAAAAAACTGTACAATAAATCACTGAGAACATAAATCGTATACACCCCCCGGAAAGTTTACTCTATGACTGACTGACTGACTGACTGACTGACTGACTGACTGACTGACTGACTGACTGACTGACTGACTGACTGACTGACTGACTGACTGACTGACTGACATATTGACGTGCCCTATTGTAACTTAGCGTGTGCCCTAGTGTAACCTAGCTGTGCCCTAGTGTAACCTATCAAGTTACACTGACTGACTGACTGTCATGGAGGACGGTCATGAAATTTCAAGCTCCACTCAAAAGTCAAATAACAACCTAATTTTGGCTCAGTCTTTAATAAATTTGATCGATAATCATTCAGAAGGGACTGACAAGGTTATGGACGGGAATAATGGCGAAACACAGAAGCTTGTAGAAGAATTAAACACTGAAATTTTAACGACATCGACCGCAGCGGTTAAAGCAAAATTATCGAAGGATTCCTCGGCAAAGTTACACGGTAAAAGAGACAAGATCATGGAATATTGCAGGTACAAATTTCCTAACTTTCCAAAAGACAAACCCTTACGTAGAATAACCCGTTCTGGGGGGAAATCTGCAAACGAGAAATTGGCGAGTGATATTATTGCCTTAGTGAAATACTGTTGTTCAGAAGAAATCACAGTTGAGATCAATGAGTTGTTTAAAAAGTCTTCGTCTGTACATCCTGAAATGTCGTTCAGTAGCTCGCAAGGTCAAAAAATAACGAACTGTACTGACATTGACCAATTTACGAGTTTAGCTGAAAATTTAGATATAAAATTGTGTACATTGAGAGAAGACTTTGATCAGACTGTGACATGCCTTAAAGACGAGATCTCAGAGTTAAAGTCTGATTTATGTGCAAAGCAAGCTAAAATTCAAGCTCTTGAATCGGAACTTGCCACATTTAAGGGGAATTGTAAATCTTCTTTGGAAAATACGAAGGCGAAACTAGAATCATGTGAGATTGAGTTAAATAAAAATGAAGAAAACATAGCAAAACATGAAAGCAATTTTCAAAAGCTATCTAAAGACCTTGAGAAGCTTAGAAAGGAAACAAAAGAAATTGGCAAAGTAAACTCAATTAGTAAAAACCATTAGCGATAACAACTGAAAACCAATCTTCTGAGTCAAACAAAAATATATACGTAGAAGCTGCAAATACAATTTTGAGCTCAGAGGAAATTAAAACAAAAAAAACTGACAAAGCAAAATCAATTAGGGAAAATTCATTAGCGACAACAATTGAAATCCTATCTCCTGAGGCTAATAAAAATACATATGCAGCAGCTGTAAACATAAATGCAAATCTGAGCCCAGAAAATCACTCGAGTGTTCCAAAAACTAATCCAACAAAACATAGTTCCAAAGACAGTTCTCAATTACTGAAACCGGCAAAGGGAAACAACAGCCCGAATAAGCAACACAGTCATGAAGCTCATAGTGATCATTCAGCAACAAGCAGTGTTAACGATGACCATGATTTATTTGTCGGAGTTGAAAAGAGGAAAATAAAACGACTCTATTTAGGGGGCGTACGCGAAGGGGTAACAGATAAGTTAATTTCAAACTATATCAATAAAAAGGGAATTACCCCAACGTTTGTAAGATTAATGAAAAGCAAGAGGAAAGGCACCGTAGCCGTCCGAGTAAACGTTCTAAGTGAAGATTTTGATCGCGCCTCGGAGAAAGACTTTTGGCCTAAGCACGTATACGTTAGGGAATGGCTCTCTAAACAAAAGTGGGTAAACAAAAATAGCTCGAATGTCGGACCTACGAAAATTGACGAAAATTAAACTTGGCTGCTGGAATTGTGGCGGAGTTTATGGAAGCTTTATTTATGTAAAAACGTTGTTGCGTTCATTGGATATTTTAGCATTAAGCGAGCATTGGTTGTATGAAGATGAGCTGACATTTCTGGACAGTCTAGATAGTAACTTCGATGTTATTTCGTGTAGCAGCTAAAATAATAATATAAACGAGCGGTGGAGAAGGGGCCAAGGCGGTGTTGCACTGCTTTTCAAAAAATGTTTAAAAGCGCGAGAAATACAAACTTCCTGTGATCGTATAGTATCGGCATCAATAATAATAGAAAACATGAAAATTGCTGTGGTATCAGTCTATTTTCCATCTACGAACTACAGTTTTACGGATTATCTAAACATACTTTACGAGTTAGAGCAGTTTTGTATCCAGCAGAAGAGTTATGGCTTTAACTTGGTCCTACTTGGGGACTTCAATGCACATTTGCAAGAAACAAGTCTGCATCAGATGTTAAACAAAAGGGGACTTAAACTACAGGAATTTTGTAATGTGTTAAATCTAATTCCCGCGAATGTATCACCTGTTTGTGAACATCCCCAATTTACATATATCTCTAGAACTGGAAACTCTATTGTTGACTATGTGATTATTGATAATACATTAATGCAGTTTTTCGATTCAGTAGAGAGATCTTGTGAGCATCCTGACAATACAGCATTTCATTTACCGCTGAAACTATGCTTGCATCTGTCCAAGTTTCGGACCGAATTTCAAACGATATCGGAAATCACAGTATAAATACTTATGACAAAATACCATGGAAACGATGTACTGCGGAACAACTGAATAGTTATCAGGAAAATCTGAACTTATTAATAAGTAATGCTTGGGAGAATATTAATTTATGTGATGCAAACGTTATTTATGAGGAACAGATCG